TATTTCTCCTTCTATTCTGAATGATAGCCTTTCTGGATAGAGTATTCTTGGTTGCAGAGTTTTTTCCTTTCAGCACTTTGAATATATCATGCCACTCCCTTCTGGCCTGTAGAGTTTCTACTGAAAAATCCACTGGTAGCCTAATGGGGTTTCCCTTGTATGTAACTGTCTTTTCTCTGGCTTCTTTTATAATTCTCTCTTTATCACTACTTTTTGCCATTTTAATTACTGTGTGTCTTGGTGTGGACCTTGGGTTGATTTTGTTGGCTTCCTGTGCCTCCTGGATCTGGATATCTGTTTCCTTCTCCAGATTAGGGGAGTTTTCAGCTATTATTTTTTCAAATACATTTTCTGGGATCCCTGTAATGCGAATGTTACTATGCTTGATGGAATTTCTGACTTCTCTAAGTCTGTTCTCATTTTGTGTGATTTTTTTTCTCTTATCTGCTTAGCTTGCTTATTTTCCATTACTCTGTCCTCCAGCTCATTAATTCATTCCTCTACTTCCTCTAGCCTGCTATTTATTCCACCTAGTGTGTTTTAAATTCTATTTCTTGTTTTCTATATCTATGAATGATTCATTTTTGTTTTGTATCTCATTGTCAAGAGTCTCACTGATATCCCCCAGTCTTTTCTCAAGTCCAGTGAGTATATTTAATGATCATTACTTGAAATTCTCTATCAGGCATATTATTTATATCCACTTTGCTTAGGTCTCTTGCTGTGATCTTATCCTATTCCTTCATTTGGGACACAGTTCTTTGTCTCCTCATTGTGTCTAACTATGTTTCTCTGTGTTAGAAAAGTCAGTTATGGGGGCGCCTGGGTGGCGCAGTCGGTTAAGCGTCCGACTTCAGCCAGGTCACGATCTCGCGGTCCGTGAGTTCGAGCCCCACGTCAGGCTCTGGGCTGATGGCTCGGAGCCTGGAGCCTGTTTCCGATTCTGTGTCTCCCTCTCTCTCTGCCCCTCCCCCGTTCATGCTCTGTCTCTGTCTGTCCCATAAATAAATAAAAACGTTGAAAAAAAAATTAAAAAAAAAAAAAAAGAAAAGTCAGTTATGTCTCCTGCTTTTGAAAGTTATGGACTTAGGAAGAAGAGGTCCTGAAGTAGTACCCTGCAGTGCAGTATCCTCTGTTCAACAGAACCTGATACTTCAGGGGTGTCTCCTGTATGTGTTGCATGTGCAGCATATGTGTGTGTTGCATAATGTTGTGTCCTGGCTGCTTTTTCCTTCAGTATGTTAGTCTGCAGAGTCTCTCTTTGCCTCTTTTGGACTGTGTTTGACTGAGGTGGGGTGTGCAGTTTTAATGTGTGTCTAGGGATTCCACAGGGCCCACAGCTGCCTCTGCTGCCAGGACTGAGGTCCTAAAGAACATGCGGGCCACAGTGTTGGCAAGAAATGTACCAATCTTTGGGGGGAGGGAGACCCATAGCACCAGGATTGAGGCAGATGTGACTGGGAAAGGTGAATTTGCTGAATTTGCTAAACCGCAGGGGACTTGGCTTGGTGTAAGGAAGTTATGCTAGGGGGCAGGAGAAAGTGTTGGCACCTACCAACTTCTTTGTTCCTGGAGAAGCCCCTCCACAAACCCTGCCCCTCTGGCACATGCTCAGAGGTGCATAAATAATTCTCCCTCCTGTGTGCCCTAGGCATTCTACAAACTGCTGTTTCTACCTTTATGTGGACTGTTGTGCCATCTCTTTAAGGATAGAGACTCAGGTTCCTATTACCCTCTGGACTCTTCCAGAGCTGAGCCCACTGATTTTTAAAATTGTAGGCTTTAAGTCTTTCTGGTTGTGAGAACTCTCAAAATTCGGCCCTTCTAGTTTTCAGTCAAATGTTTTGGGGATTTATCTTCCCTGCACAGAGCTCCCTGGTATGATAATCTGTCTCTCTCACTTCTCTGGGTTCTTGGCTCCCTCCCACCCACAAGTGGCCAAGGTCCTTTTAGTTCCCCACCATGTCTTCACCCTTTCCACCTTCTCCATCCTCTTTGATGTGACCCCTTCTCTACCTTGGGTTATAGAGTTTGTTCTACCTGTCTTTGGGTCATTTTCTGGGTTATTTACACTGATGTATTACCTGGTTGTATCTGTGGGACAAGGTGAGCTTAGGGACCTCTTACTCCATCTTGGCCCCCAGAATTAGTCTGGATAATTGTTGTTTTCATCCCTATAGTTTAGAGGTGGTTTGTTCCATAGCATTATTGTGGCAATAGCTGACTGATGCACAAAGTAACTCCCCACCTTTTCTGGCCTATATCATTTTCCTTCTCTCTAAAGAACTTCTTTTAACATTTCTTACAAGAAAAGTCACTAGCAACAGATTGCCTCAATTTTGGGTTGTCCAAGAAAGTCTTTATTTCTCCTTCACTTTTAAAGGATAATTTCGCAGGGTATGTAATTCTATGTTGGTGTTTTTTTAATTCTATTAACACTTTAAATATTGACTGCAGACTCTTTCTGGCATGGTTTCTGAAAAGAAGTCAGATGTAATTCTTAACTTTGTTCCTCCAAAGGAAGCTGTTTCCCTGTCTTCACTCAGTGTCTTTTGGGATTTCTTTTTTGTTGTTGTTGTTAATATTTATTTATTTTTGAGAGAGAGTGAGTGATGAGGGGCAGAGAGAGAGGGAGACAGAGAATCTGAAGCAGGCCCCAGGCTCTGAGCTGTCAGCACAGAGCCTGACGCAGGGCTCAAACTCACGAGCCGTGAGATTGTTACCTGAGCTGAAGTCAGATGCTTAACCAACTGAGCCATCCAGGAACCCCACGTCTCAAGTTTTAAAGAGCCTGTTCCTTTGGACTCTGAACTCCACAAGTATTTCTCAGGGGTTTTTTTCCTGATTAGGTGAGACAGGATGGGTAAAGAATTGGGTATTTCCCTTCCCCAGCTCATTTGGGCTCTGGTTAACTCATTTCTCTTAAGGCCAGAGTACTTGGCATATTTCAAAATGGTTCATTTTTCTCCTTTCCTTGCCAGAAGCAGGAGGGATTTTTCTCCAATATTTACTCTGAGAACCTGGTTGACCTCCTAGAGTTGATAAAAGTGTTGGGGTCCCCTATGACTGGGTTTTCATGGAGTCTTTAACTCACAGATGTTCACACTGAGCCTCCAACAATTGGCTAATTATAGCTCATGTTTTCCTACCTTGACACTCATTCCTGCTGCTGTTTCAACTCATGAGTCTCTGCTCTGATAAAACTGCTACTCCCTACATTCTCATTTCTCCCTCTCCCTCCCTTATGAGAATTTAGCATATGAAAAAGGCAGCATTTCTTAAGGGAGGAAAATGATGGGCTATTTAGTAAATGGTATTGGGATAACTGGGCAACCATCTGAAAAAAGTTAGCTTAGATCCCTACCTCACTCTTTACATCAAAATGAACTCCATGAAGCTCATATATAACTTTTTAAATATAAAAAGTTGAAAAACATGAACAATATTATAAACATAGAGATTTAAAAAATCTTATGAGAGAGCTTTCTAAATACATAAAATCTAGAAACCATTAAAAAAGTTGTTGAATTGAAATAAAATAATTTTTAATGTGCAAGACAAATACAGCATGAGAAGACAATACACTGGGATAAGAATCTGCAGCATGTAGATCAATAAACAACTAATTTCGTTAGCATAAAGAATGTCTACACATGAGCTTTAAAAACCTGACGACTGACTAGAAGAGCTAAGGGCAAAGAGATTGTAGAGGCAGTGACCTAGGAAGACAAATTCAAGTCGTTCTTGAACAAATGAAAAGATGCCCAATCCTGCTCATAACAGAAGTAAACATCTGAGGCAACATACCCCTTTTCATCTATCAGAATGTCAAACATCAAAATCTTGATAACACAAGATGGGTGTGAGAAAACAATAAATACATAAAATATCTGTAGGAAGTAATTTGGCGAAAATCTTCTTAAGTTAAAAATGTACACACTGGTTCCACAGCCTGTATCATCAGGGAAGCACAAATAAAACAACAGTGAGATGCCACTAAACACTGACTAGAATGGCCAAAATCTGGAACACTGACACCACCACCAAATGCTGGTGAGGGTGTGGAGCAGCAGGAAGTCTCTTTCACTGCTGGTGGGGATGCGAAGTGTTGCAACCACTTTGGAAGTTGGTTTGGCTTTTTTTGTTTATTTTGTTTTTTTAATTTTAATGAAACAAAACACACTCTTACTCTAGGATCCAGCAATCACACTTCTTGGTATTTACCCAAAAGAGTTGAATATTTATGTCCACGCAAAAACCTGCACGTGGATGTTTCCAGCACCTTTATTCATAAGTTCTAAAACCTGGAAGCCACGAAGATGTCCTTCAGTAGATAAATGGATAAATAAATGTAGTGTTATATCCAGACAATGAAGTATTTTTCAGCGATAAAAATAAATGAGATATAAGCCATGAAAAGACTTGGAGGAACCTTAAGTGTATACACTACTACAGGAAAGAAGGCTATCTGAAAAGGCTACATATTGTATGATTCCAACTGTATGACATTCTGGAAAAGGCAAAAGTTATGGAGACAGTAAAAAGGTCAGTGGTTGCCGGGGGTTGGAGTTGAGGGGATGGCTAAATAGAACACAGAGGATTTTTAGAGAAGTGAAAATACTGTGTGATACTATAATGATAGATTCATGTCATTCTATAGGTATCCAGAAGCATAGAATGTACAACACCAAGAGTGAACCCTAATGTAAACTATGGAATTGGGATGATTATCATGTGTCAGTACAGGTTCACCAATGGTCACAGATGTGTCACTCTGGTGGAAAATGTTGTTGATGGGGAAGACTGTGCATGTGTGAGGGCGGGGCATATGTGGGTAATCTCTGTACCTTCCTTTCAATCTTGCTGTAAACCCAAAACTACTCCAAAGTAAAAATAAAATACTTTTTAAAAAGCACATATCTTTTAGCCTAGAAACTTCACTTTCAGAAATTTATTCTTCAGAGATACTAGCCAGATTGCAACTTAATTTTATTCCACAGTTACTGATTGAGCATCTACAGTGTGCCAGGCACTGTAATAGGCACAAAGGATACAAGGATGAGTGAAACACAGCCCCGTTGTAAAGTCACTTTATTATCTTACGATTGGAATTAAAGTTGAATTGAAGTACTTCATTTCAAAGATGAAAACAGTAAGTTTCAGGGAGGAGGTGAACAGGAGCTTGAACCAAGGTCTGTATGACTCTAGTAAAACACTAGGCGGGTGGGGGCACCTGGGTGGCTCAGTGGGTTAAGTATCAACTTCAGCTCAGGTCACGATCTCACGGTTTGTGAGTTTGAGTTCGAGCCCCGTGTGGGGCTCTGCGCCGACAGCTCAGAGCCTGGAGCCTGCTTCAGATTCTGTCTCCCTCTGTCTCTCTCTGTCCCCTCCCCCACTTTGCGTGTTCTCTCTCTCTCTCTCAAAAGTAAACAGACATTAAAAAAAAAAAAAACCCATGGGGCGCCTGGGTGGCGCAGTCGGTTAAGCGTCCGACTTCAGCCAGGTCACAATCTTGCGGTGCATGAGTTCGAGCCCCGCGTCAGGCTCTGGGCTGATGGCTCAGAGCCTGGAGCCTGTTTCCGATTCTGTGTCTTCCTCTCTCTCTGCCCCTCCCCCGTTCATGCTCTGTCTCTCTCTGTCCCAAAAATAAATAAACGTTGAAAAAAAAAATTAAAAAAAAAAAAACCCACTAGGTGGGTGGGTTAAACCTTTTCATCCAAGTGACCCTTAAGCACAAGAGAATATAAAATATTCCCAAAGATCAGGGGGCATAGCCTAGAGTGGCCTTTTGCAAGCAAGGGAATATTTATTGTTTCTAAAATGTCATGCACATTGTGCATTGTTTCATCTGTCTCTATATTTAAAAACACACATACATGTTTAGTATAAAGTAGTGTTTCAAAAATTAGTTCATTACTTACCAGTTAAATTAATGACCTTTTCCCTCAAAACCTATATGTGTATAATGGGTACATGAGGAAAAAGATCCATGTTTAATTGTGGTTTCTCTCCCTTTCTCCACCCCAAACATACTCCAAAAGAGAGAGACATCAGCAAAGCCAAGCTGCTGCTTGAATCTGTGGCTAAAAAGACACTGCTCTGTGTTGCTGTCTTGAAATTCTTCATCATTTTATCTTTGTGTTTTGTACGTGGAGTCTGAAAGGATAATAGAGCACTCACCAGGGTCTTGGCATCTGGGCTCCCACAATCTGGCCTCCTTGCTTCCCAAGGACAGGTTCTGGGCTGCCGCCTTCTCAACTTCTGGCACACTGGAAAGGGTAGGGGTCAGGCGCACACCCCACAGTGTCTCTGGGGAGGGGGGGTGGCAGTGGCTGTGCCTATCCTGGCTGACTGCACCAGGTACATTCAGCAGGCGGCTTGGCAGGGATCTCTTACCCACCGCTGATCCAAATACCAAGTGCATCTGGCACAGAGGTTGCAGTCCTCCGGGAGGTTGCCCGAAGCAGTAGGTTGGGGCTGCAGGAAGGAGGCATTGACTTCCTTGTCCTAGCCAGTCCCAGAACTGGACCTTGACACATATCTGCCAACCCCCTTCCCTTGCCCGTGGTCCACATGGCAGCTCAGAAGAGTCCCTGGAGGTGGAGCAGCAATGGGGAATGAGCAGTGGGGGTGGGGCTGGAAGGAAGAGGGACTGGATTGTGGGAGCCTCTCCTACGGTGATGTGGGAAAGGTGACAGGCCAAATATTGGGGGCTTGGTCACTCTTTGTCGAAATGACACCTGGTGGTCTGGCCACAGTGGGGTTTGGAGAGTCTGGAGGTTTAGAGGGTGAGATTGGAAACATGGGGGCGCCCCCCCCCCCAGTTCTGTTCTTCACCCATCACTGTATTCATGCCCGTTGCCATGTGGCTCTGCAGCTCCTCCCATCAGGAGGTGGCTCTGTTTCCTTCTCTTTGACTCCAGGTTGTCTTGAAACTTGCTTTGGCCAATAGAATGTAGGAGAATCCATGTGTGTGGAGAAGCCGGAGATGGTGTATTGAGTTAGGAATACATGAGTTAGAGAGGGTGCCGGCCACTCATAATGGGTTGGCAGGTAGCTAGCTCCCTCACCATCCGAGCTCCCACTTTGGGGAGGTGAACCACTACCCTCGGTTCCACTCCCAGCCCCCCTGAGCCTGGGATGCTGCCCTTGGTCCCCCAGACACTCCCACACCATCACTCACAGTCACCCTCTTGCCTCCCCTCAGGCCGGAGCCGACTCAGCCATAAGAAAGGGAAGGGCAAGACTGGCTGCGGGGGGGAGGGGGGGTGCCCTGCCCCCAAATCCAATCTGACTGGAGGCAAGAAGGGGCTGGCTCCCTTTCCTGGGCCTCCTCGAGGTTCAGGTGATCCAAGTGGCCAGGTGCTTGGCAGGGGACTTCACCCACCATCTGCCCGTGTGTGGTGTGTGTGTGTGTGTGTGTGTGTGTGTGTGTGTGTGTGTGTGTGTAGGGGCAGCTGCTGCCCTCCTCACCTCCAGCCCCATCCTCAGCTCCCCCAGCTGGCTAGGGGATGCTGTAGGAGCTGGCTGCTGACTGCCCTCATTAATATTTATGACAAGGAGAGGAAGTTGCATAAATCTTTCCTGATACTTAATTAAACCAAACTTCTTTTGATTTCCCCTCTTTCTGCCTCACTGAGTGTGGCCAGCATGCCTATTAGATGTTCTTCCTCCCCGAGTGGCCTGGAGTGGACAGAAACCCTCAGCTATTCTGTGCACCCAGCTTACTTCAGCCATTAGCTGGGAGCTTGGGGAAGCCTGGGGACCCCAATGTGCCTTCATAAGACTGTGCATGTGGCTTTAGGAAGAGGCTCCTTTCCACTTCTCTGGAGTAGTAGAGAGCTAGGAAGACACTGGCTGCACCCCTCAAAACAGGGGTGCAGACCCTGTTCTAGACCCGAAAGATGGAGGTTTTAAAGAGTGGCCAGGGGAAGCTGCGGTCTCCCTCCTTCCTGCTGCTCTGACAGGGAAGACGGGGTTAGTCCCAAAGCCACTGAGGAATAACCGAGTCCCTAGAAAAGCTGGGTCTGGCAGTGTCCCTGCCCCCCCACCACCACTTACTACATGGCACCCCAGCCAGAGGACCCCAGTGTCAACCTGGTCAGAGCCCAGAGTCTCCCTGCGCTCCGGAAGCTGGTTAGCACCCGGCTGACATATCTTTGATATGGAATCATATACAGGAAGCAGCTTGACCCCTGAAGGCCCCTCTTAGCGTGGGATTGACACCGAGCATTGACTTTGCTTCAGGCTTATCCACAAATCTCAGCCAATTTTATTAAAGAGCCGCGTGTGGTGTGGAACATGCCAGGGAGACAACTTTATTTATAGATCTTGATCGGCAGAGAGGAGCCCACACTTGATTTTGTTGGCGCTGGGCCTCAGGTGGGAGGGGGTGATTGGCAGGTGCACTCCCCACTGCCCCCCAGCTGCATGAAGACACTCACAAACACACAAGCGGGCAGGCACGTGGGCATTAAGCCAGAACAGACTTGTATACATTCACGTGAGCAAACACACACGTACACACTAATATCCCACAGTGCCATGGACTCAAATGTGCCCTGCCCCCCAGACTCATACGTTAAGGTCCTAATCCCCAATGTGGCTATATTTGGACCTTGTGGGAAGTAAGTACGGTTAAATGAAGTCCTAAGGGTGGGGCCCTAAACTAATAGGACTGGTGCCCTTATACAAGAAAAGGAAGAGACACCAGAGGTTGGTCTGTTTCTCTCTCATTTTCTATCTGCCTGTGAGGAGGAAAGGCCATGTGAAGACACGGTGAGAAGGCAGCCGTTCCCCAAGCCAGGAGGAGAATCCTCACCAGCAACCAAATTTGCTGGCACCTTGATTGTGGACTTCTAGCCTCTAGAATTGTGAGAAAATAACTGTCTGTTGTTTCTGCCACTCAGTCTGTGGAGTTTTTTTTTTTAATTAAACATTTTTTAATGTTTATTTATTTTTGAGAGCGAGAGAGACAGCACGAGCAGAGGAGGGGCAGAGAGAGAGAGAGAGAGAGAGAGAGAGAGAGAGACAGACAGACACAGAATCTGAAGCAGGTTCCCGGCTGTGAGCTGTCTACACAGAGCCTGATGTGGTTCTTGAACTCAGGAACCATGAGATCATGACCTGAGCCAAAGTGGGATGCTTCACCAACTGAGCCACCCACTGGTGGACCCATGGTGATATGTACCCGTAGCCCTGCACCAATTTGCGTGCAAATCAAGGCAGCGGCTCCCTTGATACACCTAGAGCCCTAAAGGAGATGCTCAGTGCTGGGCTGGTGACTCAGTGCGGGAGGGAAGGCGTGTGAATGTAGACACAAGTATGGGAACATCACCCTGTAGATCTGCATATATAGACACTTGTACCCTGTAACCTTACAGTGTATACAGAACTTTGTAATAGTAATCATAAATAATGCCCATAGGGCTGGCTTACCCTAATAAATGCAGCTGGCATTCATTGTGTTTTCTAAGCCAGGCATCTCACACGTACCATCTCGTTTTTGCCTTCACAACTCGGAAGAGCACGGACACTCTATGGAGGGAACCAAGAGACGTCAGGAAAAGGTGTGCAAGGTGACACAGCCGGAGACAAGCAGCGTGACCCCCCTGCGGGCCAGTTGACAGGGATTATAGCTGATCCTAGTGCAGGCAGGGCTCCGGACCTGGCTGACTCAGCTGTGGAGGGAAGGGCAAGAGACACCTGTTGGCCATGCCGCCATCAAGGCTGGCTAATGGGAGAGGTCTTCGGGTCTCCTCATCATTAATATCCGGCCGCGGTGTGGCCATTAGTGTGGACTAAATCCAGACACGGGCAGGTGACCTGTCTGTGAGGTTGTCAGACAGGGTTTCTCTCTGGCTGCAGCAAGGTCAGACTGAAGATGTTTTGGCTCCAGAAACCTCTCTCTGTGCGGAGACGAGGGGTTCCAAAGGGACATGTGGACGGCTGCCAAGTGTGCATGTTCAAGGAAGATGGACTTCAACCAGATTCCTCCGGCTCTTTGTGTTGAGCCTGGGCATAAGGCTGTGTGAGCGCTCACGGCCGCTGGCCCCGAGGAGCTCTGGGTAACAGGACAGCATGGGGCTGAGAGCCGTCCCCACAGACAGTGAAATCCCCGAGGGGGATGGGCAGGACTGCA